CCGCGCAGCCCGGCGCCACCTCCGCCGCTGTGCCTCCCAGCCGCTGGGCCCTGGAGGCCACAGAGGCCCAGAGGAGGGCCTCCGGCCGGGCCTGCCCTCACTGGCCAGGGTCTGAGGCTGGACCCAGCAGCACCCAGGTCCCCAAGGTGCCCACGTGTGCCCCAAGCTGTACCCGCAAACTTGACGTGAAACTTGTTCTCCGGCTTGAGGATCTGCACGTACAGCGGGCAGTTGGGGGCAAAGTCCTTCACAGCCCAGGCCCGCAGGATGGTCTGGTGGTCCTGGGGTGGGGAGGCGGTCAGCGGTCTGTGGCTGGCAGGGCCCAGGGCCCACAGTGAGCAAGCGGGGCGGGACTGTGCGGCGGCCCACTCACCGCTGCCGTGCGGTCCACCTCGTTGCGGCTGCTGAGGATGAAACAGGCCTCCCCGTTGTCCATCCTGCAGACGAGATGCTGCCGGGAAGCTGCGGTCCACGCTCTGGGCCAGGATCTGGGCCCACTGCAGAGGCCGGAGGGTGGGCCCGCGGAGACCCCTCGCTGGGCACTGACCACCCCAACGCCCCATGAAGGGGTCGGGTGTGGACAGGAAGGGGTGCTGGGTGCAGAAATACTGGATACCTGCTGCCCAGCTGGCTGCACGGGTGGCCGCCCAGCTGTTGGACTGGACGACGGTATCACGAGCTGCTTTGACCAGGCCACCCCACCTCAGGGCGGGGGGCCCTGGTGCCCAGGCCCCTCGCCTCCCCCAGCTCCAGGCCCTGCACCTGAGCACGAAGGGCAGCCACAGCCTCTGCGTTGAAAACGTGCCCCCACTTCTGGAAAGTTCCGCTAACAAAAGCCTTTGTAGCTCAAGGTGCCACCATCTTGTCTGTAAGAGCCGCTGGCCCCCCGCCCCTGCCCCTGCTGCCCCTCACCCCCCACTCACTTGGCCCGCATGAGGTCCTGGTCCTTGAGGGCGGAGCCCTGGAGGTAGATGACCCGCTGGGACCACAGGGGGATCTGCAGGACCCGGCGGACCTGGATGTCCATCTCGGTGGGGCACAGGATGACCACATAGTAGTCCTGCGGACCGCTGGGTCAGTCCTGGCCCTGCGAGGCGCACGCTAGGTGACACAGGAGGGAGCGGGCACCTGCGGGGGGGGCCCTGCAGGCAGGGGACGGGCACCTGCAGGCGGGGGGGGGCGGGTACCTGCAGGCGGGGGCGGCCCCTGCAGGCTGGGGGGGGCACCTGCAGGCGCGGCTGGAACCCGGCGTGGGAAGCGCGGGACA